ACAAAAACTGCGGGGAACTATGCAAAAAACGCATCTTCGCATGGGCAGCCCGTACGTTGGCCAATTATTTTATCTGTAAGTGCACCTCTTTGCCGACTGACATGTGTTTCTTCCCTCACAGGCGGATTCAGGGCGGCTTCCTGGGGGGAAGTGCGATTTTGCCAATTTCTCCACCCGGCGTCGGTACATCGCAAACTCCACTATTCCCTTTCTTCTTGCATCCGCTAATGGCTTTCCTTCTGTGTTCTTCCATACGAGGACTGCGCTACGACAAGTTTATCTGTAGTATTTCAGAACACATGTAGACTACAGTGCACGAAATTTTGCTGAATTTTTGCGCATTTTCAAGTTATTAACTAACCGGTGATGCAACTTAAGATATTTTTTGCACTGCTTGTACACAAAACGATAATTGGCTTCTCGCTGGGAGTGCGTCTTGTGCAGAGTCAGCTACGTACAGTCACAATCCTGCTCTGTTGCTTTGTTTTTGCTGCCCAAGTGCTTCTGGGTGGTTTTGGCGGCCTGGCAATCCTCGATTTCATAAGTCATGGCTCAGCATTCGTTGCAGGAATGGTCTCTGCTATTGCACAGGTGAACTGTTTTCCAAACTGCAACTATCATTTTTATGCTTTTTTTCATACATGCAAATGCAAAAACGCATACTGCCAAGAGGCTCCTGTATATATGTGTCTGTATGTTTGCACTTTTTGTCACTCACTTTCAACTGGAGAACCAGAAAAGCTAGGAGGCTGAAACTTGAGGCGTATGTGCCTACACCATGTGCGACCCTCCCGTTTTAATATCATCACCCGCATATGCCTGGGTGCCCTGTACGGACACCATAAAAAAAACATGCAATTTTTTGGCGAGGAAGCGATCTCGGGAACTAAAAAAGGTAGAGAGCTGAAACACTGAAAGAACATTCCCTGTGCATATGTGAGCTAAGGATTTCAGATTCAGCCCCTAGGTGTGTGTGTGATTCTCATGTACGAGCACTTGAAATTTTTATCGGAAAATTGCTAATTCGGCAACCAGAACAGCTGGAAGGCTGAGATTTTAAGGGTATTTCCCCAACCATCTGCAATTTAAAGTTTTCAAATTCAGCTCCCCGGTACGAGTGGTACTACGTGTCGGCATGTGAAATTTTTGGCAATAAATTACTAACTCGGGAAATAGAAAAGCCAAAAAGCTGGAATTTTAGGAGAATATTAGCTGTCCAAGTACGTGATTATTACGTACGCGCACTTAAAAGTTTTAGCGGGAAAATTGCTTACTGAACGGCTGGGTCATTTTCAAAGGGCAACCAACAAACAGGAATTGTTCATTTCCGTTATGCAAAATTTACGATGATTTACGCTACTAAGCGCAAAAGGCTGGTGTAAAGCGACAACCATTCATGCAGTTAACGACGCACTGATATCGAACCAGCAAGTCTGGCAGGCTGGGAATAGTTGGAATAATTCAGATCCAAATAATACTTCAGAAAATTCCTGACAGCACTATGTAACTTCGGTGTATTGGAGCGGCACGACTAAATATGAATTAAAAAAAATATTTTTCCGAGGAGAAGCGTCTGGTGCAAGTTCGGTTCAAGTCTGGTGCAAAAACGGATGATCGCACCAGCAGGCCTGGTGCAATCCAGTTTGGGTTCAGATTTTTACAAGACCGGTTGGACTGCAAACTTACAGATAAGTTACACATTGAGCGAAGCTAAGTTTGTGAGTTGCTTTTGCACGAGATTTTCCCTAGCAGTCATTTTCTATCACTAATCACTAACACAATATGTCCATCGCAGAGCAAAACAAGCAACAGGTTTAATTATGCAAGAAGGTTTAATTATGCGTTTTTGCTGTGCAGCGTTATAGCGCGCGTGCAGCGAGCAAGGGCGCATATTGCGACGACCTCTGGTGTGTGTGTGTGTGTGTGTGTCCGTGTGTGTGTGTGTGTGTGTGTATTTAAACACGGTAGCCATGCGAACTCCGGAGCCAAACTTTTGCCAGCGAATTCTCGGGCCAAATGTCACCCCAGGACCGCGATACCGACTCTCATGTACGTCCCGCGCATGACTACGTGAAAGTTTTGGCGGGAAAGTGGCTAACTCGGAAACCAGAAAAGCTAGGAGGCTGAAATTTTAAAGAGATGTTCCCCGACCACGTACAGCTCAAAGATTTCAAATTCAGCCCTCAATTGCGCCTGGTTCTCACGTATGTACCCGTGAAAATTTTTTGGGGGAAAATCAATAGCTCGAGGACTAGAAAAGCTGTTAGGCTGATATGTCGAGGGGATATTCTCAGCCCATGTACAATTTAAAGACTTCAATTTCAGCCACCAGGCACGCGTGGTCCCCAATTACAGCCCCGTGAAATTTTTTGGCAGGAAAATTCACTAACTCTGGGACCAGAAAAGCTAGAAAGCTGAAATTTTGGCAGAATGTTCTCTTTCCAAGTGCATGTGGTAGTTGTACGATTAATTTTTTGAAGTTCGAGGACCAGTATGCCATAATTCTAGCTATTGTGATCCCAAGCGATCTTGCAACAGTACGAAATATTGCAAAAACGCATGATCGCACCAGCCCGCCCGGTGCGCGTGGCCAGTGATTTTACTTGAACTCATGTATGTAACAATGTCTTTTCTTATTTGACAGAGTGTTTCATTATCGAAAGCCGACGGAGAGATACACCATGCATCCTTATTAACATCTCTGCCCTCATCGAAGTAAATTCATTTCTTTTTTACCAATTAAAAGAATATTCAAACATAAGTCGCATTTCAAAAACAACCACTGAACAGAATCTATAAATTGCGAAAAACAACTTTGCATAACAAGAGAATTGCAGGCAGTGGCATGCGGAACATTTCTGTACATAACCTGTTTCGAGATACTTCCTCACGAATTCGAGCAACGTCAATGTCGTATTGTCAAACTTTTCGCTCTGTTTGCCGGTTTCTCGCTCATTGCATGTCTTATGGCTCTATTTCCCGATGATTAGTAAATACTACTGCACATTTGCTATAAAAAACACATTTCTGAATTATCCCATAAAAAG